GGATGGCCTTGGAGTTCTCCGACAGCTCCGGAAGTCTGCACACGGAGTCTCTGGAAGACTGAGAGGTGTTGTCTCTGCAGAAAAGCCGTCGGACATTTCCGTGTGACGGTGACACAAACCATTCCTTCCTCCATAATCACCCTCGCTGCAGCGCTGGCTCAGGGCAGACAGCCTGCCGTGCACGGACTTTATTTTAAAATCCCTCTTGCTTTTTTTTTTTTTTTTATCCCTGTGAATGCCTGAACTCCCAGGCAGAGGAAAGCACTCAAGTCTGTCCTTGAGTGTGCTGGTGGTGATGTGATGTCCCAGACGGGACCCTCGGAGCTCTGCGGCAGGAACAAACCCCCTGCTGATGTAATTTAAAAGAATAACCTCCCAATTTTCTCATCTCCCTTTGCTGGATACACCTTATCAAATGACAGGAGAAGCCAATGTTTGGTTAAATGGTTCAGAGGTTAATTCTCAACAGATGCGAGAAGTTTTTTCCCTTCTTTTCCTCCGCCTTAGAGGGGATCTGGTCAGCTCTTCTTGCTGGATTCATGAGGCTAGAAAGGAAGGATGGGGGAGGGAGGGGCAGTCTTCCCATCATGCCCATCGAGGGAGTCCATTCTCCCCAGCCACTGTCAGCCCCTCAGGGTCTCAGGCTGTGTCTGGAGCCTCCAAAGAACCATACTTTGGGCAGGGCCCACCAGAACCACACTTTGGGCAGGGCATGGTTACATTCAGGAAGGTACAATGTGTCTGCCCTGTGAGGTAAATATGTGCAGCTTACAGAAGGGAAAACTAAAAGGAAGGAGAGCAATACAAGTAAAATTCTCAAACTCAATTCTCCATGCTTGGGGGAAATTATTTTTTTATATTTTATTTTTTGGGTACCAGGCATAGAACCTAGGGGCCCTTAACCACTGAGCCACATCTTCAGCCCTTTTTTGTATTTTATTTAGAGGCAGGATCTCACTGAGTTGCTTAGGGTCTCACTAAGTTGCTGAGGCTGGTGTTGAACTTGTGATCCTCCTGCCTCAGCCTCCTGAACTGTTGGGATTACAGGCGTGTTCCATCATACCTGCTGGGCAGATTATTGAGTCTCCCTGAAATTTTACTCATAAGGCGGATACAATCATTTACATGGCAGGGATGTTAGGAAGACTTAGAATTCTTCTGGGAAACCGGATGTTCACTTGCTGCCAGTTTCACCCCAAATTGCTGACCAGTAGCAAAGAGAAACAAATATATTGCCTATGAAGAGATCTGACTTCTCTTGTCATAATCCAGTGATCAACTTTGCATCACAAGTCACAGGGTGCTTCCTAAGGAGATGCTGCATGGAGTGCCCCACATGGCCCAGAAACCTCCTTGTCCAAAATGGTTCACCTAACTATATGAGAAGGTCAGAGGATGTGGGAGTGAGTTAAATAAGAGAAGGCAATAAAGGGTGATTCCTAAAGGACAACTAGTCCAGTCTGTCTTCAAAAGTCGATGTCAAAAAAATAAAGTGATGGGCATGGGGAGAGGCTGCTTTAGAGAAAAAGGGGTTAAGAGGCATAACCATCAAGTATAATCTGTGGTTCTTATAAGAATTATGGGGTTTTCTTTTATTGAGGTGAAATTCATATAACACACAATTAACTTTTTTTTCTTTTTTTTTAAATTGTTATTTCTGGGATTGAAACTACCAGGGATTGAACCTAGGGACCATTAACCACTGAGCCACATTCCTAGCCCTTTTATTTTTTATTTGGAGACAGGGTCTTGCTGAGTTGCTTAAGGCCTCACTAAGTCACTGAGGCTAGCCTTGAACTTGCAATCTTCCTGCCTCAGCCTCTGGAGTTGCTGGGGTTTTAACCATGTGCCACCACACCCAGTTGCAAGTAACCATTTTAAAGTGAACAAAGGGATGGTGTTTATTGCATTCAAAATGTTGTACAACCATCTCTCTCTAGTTGAAAACTTCCCCATCATTCCTGAACATCTCACATCCTTTAAATAATCACCCCCTCTCTCCTCTTCCTGTGCAATCACTAATCTGAAATGCATGACCAAAATTTTTTTGATTTTTATTTGTTTGTTTGTCTGTGCTGGCAATCCAATCCAAGGCTTTATGTATACTAGGCAAGCACTCTGCCACCAAGCTATGTCCTCAGACTTTATTTTTTAACCAAGTTTTTATAAATGTCAGCATGTGTTTACCATGTGTGTACCATATACACTCCTGGGTGTCTACCTTAGAGAAATAAAAACTTACTTCCAAATGAAAACCTGTACAAATGTTGATTGTAGCTGTATTCATAATTGCCAAAAGCTGAAATACCCAAATGTCCTCTAGGAGACAAGTGAAAAAACAAACAGTGACACTTCCATACAACGGAATACCATTCAGCAATAAAAAGGAATGAAGCTGGGTATGGTGGCACAGGCCTATAATCCCAGCAGCTAAGGAGGCTGAGTCAGGAAGATCACAAGTTCAAAGCCAGCCTCAGCAAAAGCAAGGCATTAAGCAACTCAGTGAGACCCTGTCTCTAAATAAAATACAAAATAGGGCTGGGGATGTGGCTTAGTGGTCGAGTGTCCCAGAGTTCAATCCCCAGTTCCAAAAAAAAAAAAAAAAAGAAAAGAAAAGAAATGAGTTACTAATACAAACAACTACTTGGATTAAGCTCAAAAGTGTTGTGCTGAGAGGCCGGGGTTGTGGCTCAGTGGTAGAGCACTAACATGTGTGAGGCACTGGGTTCGATCCCTGGTACCACATTAAAAACAAATAAATAAAGGTATTGTCTCCAACTACAACTATATATATATATATATATATTTTTTTTTTTTTTTAATAAGTGTTATGCTGAGTGCAAGGATCCAATCTTAAAAGGTGGCATACAGTGTGGTTCCACCAGTTTGACACTCCCAAAGAGAGAAACAATACGGGTGAAGAACAGAGCAGTGGTTGCCAGGAGTTATCAATGGGACCAGGGGAAGGTGTATCTGGAGAGGACTTGCACCCAGGAGCTGTTTGGGTGATGGAGCTATTCCATAACCTCATTATACATTGTTAAAATGTGTTTAAAAACCTCATATACATGTGTTAAAATTCACAGAACTGTACACACACACACACACACACACACACACGAGCCAATTTTAGTGTACAATTTTTGTGGTTAGAGGCACTTAACCACTGAGCCACATCCCCAGCCCTTTTTCTTTTTTATTCTGAGACAGGGTCTCACTAAGTGACTGACGCTAGCCTCCAACTTGCAATTCTGCCTCAACCTCCCAAATCACTAGGATTACAGGGGTGAATCACTGTGCCAGGCTTAATGAATAATATTAAAAAGAGTAAGAGAGATATTAAAAGAAAAATAGAAAGTGAATGGCAAAATTTGACTGTTGTTGTATCCAAGCTGTGGATATATAGGTGTATATTGTGCCAGTCTTTCTGTTTTTCTGCACATTTGATTTTTTTTTAATAAAAAAGAGGAGAATTACCTCTGACGAGTCAGCCTGACCCTGTCCGGCCCTCAGAAACGCCATTCCCCTCTCCCCCCAACCCCCTGGGAGCAAAGGGGAGAACAACCATTCCTCCATAGGCCTCATTCTTACATCCGGGACCCTCAATACAAACAAAATATTTCCTGGGTCAGCCCCGAGCCAGGTGCTCAGCATCTGACCAGAGACTCCAATCACTTTCACCAGTCTGGGTACTGAGGACATGTAAGATTGCACATGTCTAGTCCCAACCTCTTGCACATTCTCCCTGGAGACCAGACTCCCTTCAAGAACCCTTGCTCCCTGGTGATGCTCCCACAGGACTCCTGCAGACCCCCTCAGCAGCCCTCCTCTGGGATCCCCTCAACTACACACTTAATGGCATTTGTCACATTGTAAGGTCACTGCCTCCAAGAACAGAAAGGAAATGTCCTTGAGCTACAGGTCTGCGTACATTGGCAGAGGACAGCACTTCTCAGTGTGACCTGGAGACACCCTCCCACACCTCAGAATCACAGGTGCTAATTGAAAGGCAGACTCGGGTCCTCACCTCAGACCCACTAAAGCAGATTGGCTGGAATGAGGTGCAGGAAACAGCATTAGAGCCAAGGCCCCCCACACTGACAGCTAAGAACACTAGCCCAGGAGAGCCTCATGTTCCTCCCAGGTGAGAAACCTCTCCTAATGGACTTACTAATCTGGGGAAGAAACCCTGTCCCTGCCTCCTCTCTAACCCCACCCTGGGTTTGGCCTAAGCAGAGGTCAGAAAAATTTTTCTGCAAAGGGCCAGTTAGTAAACATTTTAGGCTTGTATTCCAATTAAACTTTATTTGTGGATACTGAAATTTGAATTTCCTATAGTTGTCCCACATCATAAAATACTCTTCTTTTGATTTTTTTCCCTCCTAGTACTGGGGGTGGAACCCAGGGGTGCTCCTCCACTAAGATGCATCCCTAGCTTTTTTTATTTTTTATTTGAGTAGGGTGTCACTAAGTTACCCAGGAAGTCCTTGAACTTGTGATCCTCCCGCCTCAGCCTCCTGAGTCACTGTGACTATAGGTGTGCTCCACTGTACATGGCTCTTCTTTTGATTCCTTTAACCACTTAAAATGTAAACACCATTCTTCATAGAGACATAAAGTAGACTTGTAGTTGCTTAGGCCTGGGAGGGTGAGGGAATGGGGGATGACAGGTTAAGGGGATGGTGTTTCTTCTTGGAGTGATCAAATGCACATATCTGTTAGTATACTAAAAACCACAGAATTGCACACTTTAAATGGATGAACTATATATCAATGAAGCTGTTTCTAAAAAACAAACAAAAACACTCTTAGCTCACAGACCACACACAGACAGACAGCAGGTAAGATTCAGCTCATGAGTTCAGCAGACCCCTGGAGCAGGTAGGAAAAATTGAGCTCAACAAGATTTAAATGCTTTCTTCCATTTGGCCAGAATCACCATTTTCCAGTAATTCTGCAGAATGAAAAACACAAAGGGAAAGAGGAGAGGAATCTGATAGATGTTATCTAGACCTTTTAGAAAACATGGAGTCATTCCTTTGGTCACATATATGCAAATCTACAAGAAGGATGATACAGTACACATTAGGGAAAAGGCTACTGTTCAAAAAGGAATGACCCACAAATGTTACTGTGGCAATACTGGGAAAGTCTACAAAGTTACCCAGCCTGCTGTGTGCATAGTTGTGGGCAAGAAAGTTAAGGGCAAGATTCTTGCCAAGAAAATTAATGTGCATGTTAAGCCCATTAAGCACTCTAAGAGCGGAGACAGCTTCTTGAAACATGTGAAGAAAAATGATCAGAAAAAGAAGGAAGCCAAAGAGAAAGGGGCCTGGGTTCAGCAGAAGCACCAGCCTGTTCCACCCAGAAAAACCAACGGAGCTGGGTGCAGTGGTCCTGTAGTCCCTGCGGCTTGGGAGGCTGAGGCAGGAGGATTGTGAATTCAAAGCCAGCCTCAACAAAAGCGAGGCACTAAGCAACTCAGCAAGACCCTGTCTCTAAATAAAATACAAAATAGGGCTGGGGATGTGGCTCAGTGGTTAAGCACTCCTGAGTTCAATCCTCGGTACCAAAAAAAGAGAGAGAATCAATGGAAAGGAACCTGAGCTGCTGGAACCTGTACCCTAAGAATTTATAGCATACTAAATATTAAAAAATAAAGGCCCTTAGACTGTTAAAAAAAATTCAAATTTCCACATACTAAATGAACAGTGTTCTCAGAGTTGAATCTAGACTTGAGGGGGTGGGGAGGAGGTGGGGAGTTAGATAGGAGAGGTCTGGTGGGGTGACATGAGGACAGGCCAGGGCTATGTTAGACAGCTAGGTAGTGAGGCAAGGATAACTGTCTAGCCAGGTGCTGTGGTTTGAAAGTGTTCCCCAAAGTTCATATGTTAGAAACTTAATCACCAAATTCATGTGTAGATGGTATTTGGAGGTGAAGTCTTTGAGAGTTAATTAGGGTTAGGTGAGGTCATGAGGATGGGGCCCCCATGGTTGGATCAGTGGCTTTATGAGAAGAGGAAGACAGACTTGAGCCAGTTCTCTTATTCTCTGCCTTCTGCCATGGGATAATACAACATGAAGGCCCTCACCAGAAGCAGCCCTTTGATCTTAGATTTCTCAGCCTTCTGAACCATGAGTCAAAAAAACTTCTATTGTTTATAAATTAACCAGTCTCAGGTAATTCTGTTATAGTGAACACAAAATGGACTAAAACACCAAAAGTCAATAAACCATGGTCTACTACTGTCTGTTTCAGTAAGGCCTGTGAAGTAAGAATAATTTTTATAGATGAATGTTTGCAAATGGATAGGGAAACCCATACTAACTGCTGCAATGGTTTAATGTCCCCCCCAAAAGTGAGGCACTAAGCAACAGTCTTGGTCTCTAGTATGACACTGTTGGGAGGTAAGAAGGCCTTTAAGACATGGGACTTAGGGCTGGGGATATAGGTCAGTTAGTAGAGTGCTTGCTTTGCATGCACTAAGGCCCTGGGTTCAGTCCCCAGCACCAAAAAAAAAAAAAAAAAGAGAGAGAGAGAGAGAGATGGGGCCTAGTAGGAGATCTTTAGATCACTGGAAGCAGGTCTTAAAGAAATTGTGGGATCCTGGCCTCTTGCTCTTCCTTTTGCTTCCAGGCTGAAGAGGTGAGAAGTTCTGCTCCCCCATGCAATCCTAACATGACATACTTCTCTTGCCAGAGCAATAAGGAACTGGAATCTCTAGAACCAATACCAATGAACTTTATAAGTTAATTGCTTTGGGCATTTTGATATGTGGATAGACAGTTTATAAATGTAAACCTCAATTAAGCAAAATGTTATATCCCCAAATAATTCCACTCTTCTCATTAGTTTACCTGAATTATAAAAAAAAGTACTCAATTATTATTATGTTTTGAATTTTGTTAATATAAAAAAGTTATGGAAATTTGTTTTCTATTTTGTTATATAAATCTATACATAATAATCTTGATTTTGCTCTTGGCCCACAGCACCTAAAATATTTACTATTTGGCCTTTGACAGAAAGAGCCTGTTTACCCATGGTCTAGCAACCGATGATATTCCATCTTAAGTGGTGCCTGTCTGGAAATCCCACATTGCCCCAAACCTGGAGTGCAAGTCTGTCAATTGTAAGCCATCGCCAGACAGGAGGTGGAGGCAGGGGAGCACTAGGGAGAGGTGCAAAGACCATGAACTGAGCCACAGCCCATGGAGACAGTGCTGCTTTTCCTGAATATTCTATAGAAAGATGGTTCTGTAGAAGGACTGTACAGGGCTGGATTCTTCTGCTATCTGAATAGAACCACATGGAGACAGGCAGTTGATTACTCTCTCACTGGAGGTCAGTTTCCTAAGAGTGGGAACAGGATGGTCTTGTTCATGGTTTCCTCAACACACATAGCCTGCCACATAGTGGTTTGTTGTTGCTGGTTTGGATTGTTTTGTTTTGGGTACTAGGGATTGACCCAGGGACACATAACCACTAAGCCACATCCCCAACCCTTCTTATTTTTTATATTGAGACAGGGTCTCACTAAGTTACTTAGGTCTTTGTAAAATTACTGAATTTGCGATCCTCCTGCCTCAGTCTCCTTAGCAGATGGGATTACAGGCGTATGCCATCATGCCTAATGCACATAGTGGGTATTTAACAAACCCACTATTAATGAATAAATGATGACTCCCTGAGTTATTGGATTTAGCTGATCTGAGTAAAGGCCTCTGATACATACCCCTACCCCCTTTCCCAGACAAATTTTAATGGTATTACCTAAGCTATGTTCCTCAAGATGTTAAAAGGTAGAAAAAGCCTGGTGTGGTGGCACATGCCTGTAATCCCAGGGTCTTGGGAGGTTGAGGCAGGAGGATCCTGAGTACAAAGCCAGCTTCAGCAAAAGTGAGGCACTAAGCAACTGAATGAGACCCTGTCTCTAAGTAAAATACAAAGTAAGTGCTGGGGATATGGCTCGGTGGACAAGTGCCCCTGAGTTCAATCCCTGATACCAAAAAAAAAAAAAAAAGTAGAAAAAAAGTTTTGTGGGTAAATATATTTTGAAAATACTGCCTAGTGAATTCCTTTCCTGGAGAGTCCCAATAAATGTGCTCACTTATCAAAGGGCCTGAGAAGTCATGCGCCACTAGCAGTTCAGAGCCCTCCTCACACATCTCTCCAGAGTTTCTAGAGCTTCCCAATGTTACCATTCCCAAGAGTTTGGGGATTCAGGTAATGAAAATCAGACTTGTTCCCAACTTGCCCTGCGGCTGATGCAAGATTGAGCTTTCTCCATTCCATTCCATCCACCTTCTCCCAAGTTTCCAAATTCCTGTTATATGTTGCCTCTTCTTCTATCTTCCTAATCTTGTGCATTTATACCTTTGGAAAAAAAAAAATCCTCTTCTTTTGGGGATTTTGGTTGAGGAGGTAGGAAGGGCCAATGTGCATGTGTTGGTCAGCCATCTTTAGATGGAAGGAAAGAAGGGCTCTGCATTGGGGTCATGCTGGGCAGCAGGAAAGACTGAGAGATGGTAGGTGAGTTTAGGACACTACAGCTTTCCAGGCTTCCCCAAAGCACTTGGAAACCAGGGTAGGGCTGCTTGGCTAAGAGCTTCAGTAGGACCTGGGAAAGAAAAACATAAAAATGTGGGGATACTCACCCCTCAAGGAGCTTAGTGGGTGAGAGATAAGTGGATGGTTGGGGGAAAATAAGTGGGAAGTATACATGATAGAAATAATCACAGGAGACTATAGAAACCCCAAGAAGTGGTAGTCCAAGCAGTGTGTGTGTGTGTGTGTGTGTGTAATTGATCTTTCTGGAAGAGAGAAAGCAACGGGAACCATGTTTGTAGAGGCCAGGACAGCACCGTAAGGAGTGTGGGGGTAATGAATAGTAAAGGTGTCAAGAAGACATTGTGACCACTGAGTTGGAGAAAAGGCAGAGAGAGGACAAAGGAAGGCCTAGGGTGTCATGCTGGAGCCTGGGCTTTATCTTGAAGGTAGTGCAGAGCCCCTGACGGGTGGCCAGGAGGAGACTTGCTGGTGGAAGCGAGCCCATGGCAGATAGTGCTGGACTCCAAGGCCACTGTGGGAGGTGTTGCAGAATCCAGTGGGAAATGATGAGGCTACGCTCAGGCAGCTCGAGTATCCATGATGGATTACTGGGGACAGAGTCAGGAGGATGAAATCAGTGGCATGTGGGCCTGGGAGCAGGGAAGCAGAGGGTGGCCTCAGAGAAAACTCCCAGGTTTCCAACTCTGTTGGCTGCTGGGAAAGGGCAGGACTATCCCCTTCCAGCTCCTCCTCTCCTTTCTAAAGCCCCCATGACCCCCACAGGCCCCTGAGAGGAGAGTGTTGACTCTCCTCCCACCCCACCTTCCCTCTTGACTATTTGCCGGGAGCCCCCCACCCCCACCCCAAGAGAGAGAGAGAAGATGAAATCATGGAACAAAGGAGATTAGAGCCACATTTCTTTCTTTGTCTACAGTGGAAAACTCTAGTTTGTTACGAGAAGGGAGATTTGAGAGGGGGGCCTCCTGATGAGGTTATGGTTTTGAAACAGGAGCTGTCAGGAACGGCCAATCTGATGAGCACAAGGTCTCATTTTCCTTTCTTTCTGAGCTCTCCTTGGTTGCCCTCAGGGTAGGGCCCCTCCTCTGGGGTGAGTCTGTCCTATTGGATTTGCCAGCCTGAGTATGCCCCTTTCCACCATCACTCAACCTAGGCACCCACGGAGGTCACCTCCTCAAGGGAAGGAGGTCCTCAGGACAGGACAGGAGGAAGGGGGAAAGGGGGGTAGGGACAGTAGAGTAGGAAAAGCCAGATGTGGGTTGGAGAGTTTGATTTCAAGTCCAAGTTATGCCACTTTCCAGCTATGCAAACTCAGCCAGCTCCCTGAGCCCCACCCCAAGACTTCATTTGTCACTGAAAAGGATTACAATTTCCCCTCCTTACCATAGCCATCCTGCTTTCTAGGGTTTCAGTTACCTAAGGTCAACCATGATCCGAAAATATTAAGTGGAAAATTCTAGAAATAATAATCCATAAGTTTTGAATAACTTTTATTATAGTACACTGTTATGATTGTTCTGTTATTGCTAGTTATTGCTATTAATCTCTTACTGTGTCTAATTTATAAATTCAACTTAATTATAGGTATGTATGTATAGAACAGTACCACAGTGTATATAAGGTTTGGTCCTATCCTATTTAGGCATCAGTTTCAAGACCCATTGGGGGTTTTAGAACACATCCCTCATGGACAAAGTGGGGGACTACTGTATACCCAGCTCATAGGATTACTTGGGGACTAAATGAGATGATATCTGTGGGGGGGAATAAAAGAATTTGGAAACCAGGACAATCCCCAACAATCGCAGGGCCTGGGGCAAGAATACAGATGGAGAGCTGGGGAGGTGGTGCAACACCTGAAATCCCAGAGGTTCAAGAGGCTCTGGGAGGACCCTAAAGTAAAAGTCAGCCTCAACAAGGGCAAGGCGTTTAGCAACTCAGTGAGACCCTGTCTCTAAATAAAATACAAAATAGGGCTGGGGATGTGGCTCAGTGGTTGAGTGCTCCTGAGTTCAATCCCCAGTCCTAAAAAAAAATAAAATAAATAAGATAAAAATAA